GGACCCAGCGGCTGGCGCCGCGTCTGCGGGTGACCCCGCTTCTTTGCTGGATCCTGCGGGTGACCCCGCCTCTTTATGGAATCGGCGGTTCCATTCCTTGAGGCGATGGTCATTGGGAAGCTGTACCCAATTTTCCCTGACGATGTTGGCCACCTCTTCGGTCATAGGGACGCGATCGGCTTCGGTGATGCGCTTTCCTCCTCCAGGGACCTCCTTGTTAGGATCATGGACGTTGCCAGCGTCATCTCCATGAGACCAATTCCACGGGGTCTCACCGTGATGAGGACTCCTGGAGGGGCGGTCCATCGGACAACTGCGCATGTGACCTTTGAAGGGCTCGCACTGACATACTTGTTTCCTGTATGTCTTGCGATCGTTGATGATCTCCTGTTTCTTAGCCCTTTTGTCCCAAGCCTCTGGCGTTTTGGTCTTGCCACCCTTGGTACGTATTATCATGCCAGTTTCGTCCCTTTTGGTGCAGTACTCCTTAGAATACCAGTGGCGGATCACGTCCATCGAGTAGCCGGGGTACCAGTTGATGTACCAATCCGGCACGTGCTGAGCGGATACGCCAACGGAGTGCTCAGTACTGTACGGGTAGCCCGATGCATCATGTGTAGGGCGTCTGGGAGCTGAACGGCTCCTCCTGCGGGCTGGCCCCGCTGACGCACTACCACGTTCCATTGGCCTTTGATCGTCATGCTCTGAGTCTCGGGGAGGCGATGGTCGTCTGTCCCTCTTGGCGTAGCGCATGTCCTCCGAGTCCTCTGAGCTGTCCTGGACCATGAATACGTGTTGATACGGGCTTCGGAAGTACCCGATGTCGTTTAACTGCTCCATCGTGAGGTCGTTGAGGTCCATCTGATCGCAACCCTGCATAAATACATCCATAGACCAAGCGGGTGGCCCCGCTGTTGCGGCTGACGTCACTTCGGCGGGTGACCCCGCTAGAGCCTGGAGTGCTGTCAGCATCTGAGGTGCCGACATGTCCGAATCCAGGTATGGACGCAGCCGTGCAGCCCCTGGGCGCGACAGCAGGTCGTTCATGGTTATCTGCTGATGTGCTGGCGCACTCAGGAGCCGGATTGCTTCTGCGACCTGCTCTTGGAGCATGTCCTTATAGTCCTCTTCGGCCTCTTCGGAGTCAGAATACGCGGGATGGCCCCGCATTTCGTCATCAGCGTCTCCCGCCTCCGAGCCAGCTCGCGAAAGATCTGGCAGCAACGGCATGCCAATCACCTGCGGTGCCAGCGCGGCGGTGAGCTCTTCCTCGGTCGCCGGGACGGTCTCAGCTTCGGAGACCTCGTCGCCGGCGGGTGGCCCCGCTGGAAGACCGAACCAAGCATTGAACGCGACCTCGTCGACTTCGTCCCAGCCGTGGAGCTCGTCGAAGAGGGTCACTGCGTAGTCTTCCAGGGCTACGGTTACTTCAGCGTAGCGGGCCATCACGTAGTACGTGGAGGAGCCCGCAGCGGGAGCCGCTTCTGGATTGACGTAAAACTCGTAGTCAATGTAGTCTATGTCATCCATAAAAGAATTTTGAGCCAAATGTACGGATCCCTTTCCTTTCCCCTTCGGGCATTGATCGCGCAAATGCTCTGTGCTACCGCATGTATGACACTTCATAGTATTGCCAGAAGCGTCCCTAGGGTTGCCCCTCCGCCCTTTTCCCTTACCGGAGGTCCGCCTGTGACCCCGACCTTTGCCTCCGATAAGAACTTCTTCAAAGGCTATATCAGTTAAGGACGTGAGGAAAGCAGTAATACCCCTACCATGCATACGGCGTCTGCGACCCCCTTTGCCACGACCCTTTCCAAATCGTTTGAAATGTCGGCGTACTGCACGTCTCACCTTTCTGACTGGTTTCTTCATAAAGCGCCTCCAACGGCGTTTTGATTTGCGATAAGCCATAAAAGCGGCTTCCGCTCTTTGTTGTTCAGAAAGGTGAGTGTCATCCGCTGGATAGTCATTACCAGCAGAGACTATGCCATTGTGCTCATCGTCAGATGAGGTATCTGTGTCAGTGCCAGATTCAAACGGTGAGGGTGGCTGAGACCATTGAGCGGATGACTCCGCTTGGCCCCAGAGGGTTGTGCCCGAGGGCGGGCTTGCAGTGTAGGCGGCGCCTGGCGAGTAGTTCGACCAGGCGTTCGCCTCAGCTGCCTCTGCCGATGCCTGGCCAGTCTGCCCTAAAAAGGCAGTGGCCTCGTTGGGCATATCGGCTGGGTCAGCCCAGGGATTTGGCTCGCCAGGACCAGCGGGTGACCCCGCAGTCGTGGCGTAGACACCTGCATGTGAGTGGTGCCCTGCGAAGATACCCGCAATGTTGCCAGGAGAGCGCTGTGTCCGTAGTTCCTCATCCTGGTCAGCAGCCTGTCATAGTCTGCTTGCGTTCGGGGCATCTGATGATTAAAGGGCTCCAGCAGGTGTTGGGCTCGTGACGCGCCAACGCCTAACGCTCTGAAGAGAATCAGCGTTAGGATCTGAAAGTTGGGGATGACAAAGCCAACAGAGTTAGCCTCGTCACGGGCCATCTCGAATCGAGCTAACACTGAGTCGATTCGCTCGCCCCTTTCGACGCGAAAGTCGATAAGGGCAGTGCCAGAGTTGAGCTGGCGCTCATCTTCCAGATTTTCAAATTTGGTGCTCAGTAAGTACAGTATATATGTTACTGCATCCGTTGGCTGTCCATTGACAGTTACACCATAATTGATGATCTGGGAGGGGACCTGCATGGCGATACGACGAGCAAGACCTTGAAGGCCTCGTTGTAGTGCTGCAGCTTGTTGTGGTGGTGTCATATTGCCGCTCGTTACGTTTAACCATGCATGTACTTCGCGAACATATTCGCGAAAAGGCGTAGTACCGGCAGGGTCCCACGAAGGGCCGTAGTACGCGTGTCGTCCATCCCCTGCCGCATGTATCCCACAGCACATCCCATTATTACCCACAGAATGCCGAAGATAGTTATCTTAATCCAGTGCATGTGCATTTCGGCTTCGGTGATTGGTTTAGGCTGTGGTTTGTCAGGCTCTGGCGTAGTAGCCGTGAGGCGCCTGACTGGCACGGGATGCAGGTGGCCCCGCTGCGGGTAGCCCCGCAGGGTGACCACGTTCTCGATCGAGTTGCCGATTGGCATCTGGTGGAAGTCGGGAGTGAAGTAGCGCAGTGAAGTAGGAGAGAGCGTCTCGAGTTCGCGGGTTGCCCCGCTAGCTCGATCGCGGACTGGCTCCGCTCCTCGCAGAGCCGGCGCAACATGGTATTCCACCGTAGTAGTAGTCCACCAAGTTGTGCCGTGGATTACAGGAATCAGAGCGAGAGCCAGCCACACGAGAGTGTAGCCAGCTCCGCTACCAAGTCGAAAACAAGCTGGTAAGCTTAGGTATGTGTTACGCTTTAAGCGTTGCCATATCCCAGGCTTTGGCTCATATCGCATGAGCAAGAGAGCAAGACGAAGCATGGGATCTGGAGTAAAGGATAGGATGGGCATCGTCAATGGAAAAGGTATTTTCCGATCTCAGATACAAGTCGTGCGCCTCGGTGAGGCACAATCACATATTTGGCCGGGCCCGGCTTGAGCCAGGCACGGCAGCGGTACATGCTCGATTTATACCTCGCCTTTAACCTTCTCCGTTTAAAGTCCTCCCCTGACAGGCCAGGACTTGTGTTGTCATCAACAGATGCTTTTTATTATCAGAAAGTACATACACATATCCGCCGATCCGGCGTGTGAGTTTCAAGGAGTCTCAGCTACAGCCTCGAGGCTGAGCCTCAGCCTCTGGGGAGGTTGCCGGGGTGGCTCTGCCGGGGAAGGAGGGATGGGGGGGGGGGGCGAGTTTCCAGCGGATGCGGGGCGCTGCTTTCACAGAAGGCTCTAATCTCGAGGATGCGCTGGAAGCGTGGCCGCGGCCGCAAAAGTCTCTGAGGACGGTCTAAGAAAGTCCCGAGACCCAGAAGGATCGCCCGAGCACGCCCAAGATGGCCCCAAGACGGCCCAAGAGCCTTGCAAGACGTCTGAAGAGGCCTCCAAGAGGCCTCCCACGATGGCCCCCAGAGGCAAAAATCGTTGATTCCCATTGGTTGTTTCAATGTTTTTGGGGCTGTCGCTTTTTTCGGCTTTCCGACGCTCCAAGACGGCCCAAGAGGCCCCCAAGACCGCTCGAAGACGGCCCAGGAGGCCCCCAGACAGTCCCAAGACGGCCCAAGAGGGCCCCAAGGCGGCCCAAGAGCCGCCCAAGACGGCCCAACAGGCCCCCAAGACGGCCCCAAGAGGACCCAAAAGAGGGACGAAAAGCGGAAAAAATCTAGCCTTCCAGCCCACGAGGCCCCCAGGAGGCCCCAAGAGCCTCCAAGAGGGCCTCCGAAAGCCCCCAAGAAGCCCCCACGACGCCCTGACAGGCTCCTAAGATGGCTCAACAAAAAGCCCCAAGAGGGCGTCCTTGCGCCGATAGGCTCGCCTCCACCGCTCGCACCACATCGTCCAGGCCACATGTTTCGTAACAAGACTCCGTACAAGACGTATTGTGAGTTTCCAAAGTGATCGGCATCCTGTATGGAATTTTCATGTCATTATTATTTCCCGTCCCCACGGTCACTGCAAGCACCCTGCCGTTGATAGAACCACTGTTGCGAGATGGCTCTATTGACCCAACTGCATTCCTACGCCCTGTCGAAGGTAACCCGAGAAGTTTGTGCGTTTGAGTGTGCGCCCATAATGTCTGCGTCTGGAGAATAACACCGAGCGACCCGGATCGGCGGTACTGGCCGAAGGCCACCACAATATATATATAATATATATATATATATATATATATATATATATATATATATATGTGTGTGTGTACACTCCTCGATATGTGCGTGTCATCCTTGTGCGAATCTTCTCTGTATCGCTCCGATGTCAACGGAGGCTCCCCGAAGGGAGTCCGCCTCGGACAGGCCGGGGCTCTGAGCCCCGCAGCCTGCGGCACCGGGCGCTCCGAGAGAGCGCTCGCGGGCGCCTCGCCAGCAGCAGCCACCAGGGCGCCCGCGGGCTCGCGGCCAGCACCTCGAAGCGGGTGACGGCCTCCTCGGCGGCGCGGCGGGGGGCGGGGCTGCGGAGCCTCGACGCTGCCCGAGGTCCCGGGCCCCCAGCGTGTCTGAACATACAGTCGGGGCGTTGACCTAAGGAACCCTAAATAAGGAACGAGGCCTCTTTTTCCCATAAGTTAAGCTTCGATTTCCTGTCGAAAACATAAGGAAAGCCTGAGGCAAGCTGTGAAACACTTAAGGAACGCGGAGCCCCTTCCCAACGATAAGGGTTCCTTCTTCAGGGCCCCGACTGTAATCAAAACAGATTGTTGTTCGTGGTCTGTGGCGGCTTGGGGGGGGCCCCCGCGGGGCCCCCGGAGCGTCGGCAAAACTGCATGGGAGGAAGAGGCAACGCCTGGGAAACGGTCCAGGGCTACGAGGGCCCCGCACGGAGAAGCAGCACGTCAGAGGTCTGGGCTTCTGTCAGGGAGGCGCGAGACTCTGAGGGACAACGTTGGCGGGGGACTCGGAAGGGGGAACCGATCGGCGATAGGCCCCCGCTAGCGACTCCGCACGTTTCACTGAGACGACCGCTACCACTACGAATAATAACACGACGTCTGCGAGTAGTAGTAGTAGTAGTAGTAGTAGTAGTAGTAGTAGTAGTAGTAGTAGTAGTAGTAGCAGTAGCAGTAGCAGTAGCAGTAGCAGTAGTAGTAATAGTAGTCGTAGTCGTAGTCGTAGTCGTAGTCGTAGTCGTAGTCGTAGTAGTAGTAGTAGTAGTAGTAGTAGTAGTAGTAGTAGTAGTAGTAGTAGTAGTAGTAGTAGTAGTGGTAGTAGTAGTCGTAGTAGTAGTAGTAATAATAAAAATACTAATAATAATAATCAATAATAATAATCATAATAATGATAATAATAATAATAATAAGTATAATAATAGTAATGCATAGGCGGGTGGGGGTCGATGCACCACTCTGAGCCTCAGCATGCCCCCCCGACTCTTGCCCCCGAGACTCGGGTCTGGGGGGCTCGAGCTGGCCTGACCGGGCCGTCAGGAAAATCACACGGCGCAGCGCGTAGAATCGCGTGGCGTAGCCTGCAGTCCGCCGCGGGCTCTCGCTGCAGACAGCTCACGGAAACAGCGGGCCGTCGGAACTCACGCGCCAAGACCGTCAGAACGCGGTGGCAGGCCAGAGTTCTGGCAAGCCGGAGGGGGGAGGGAGGGGCATGGCGGGTGAGTATCGATTAATCGATCCCCATTCCCGGCGGCGTGGGCTGGACCCCGCTGGCCGATTTACCTCCCTAGACGGGGATACAGGTCGTTCTCTTCGGGTTTCGAAGGGGTGTATCCCCAACTGGGGTGGCAATTTGGTGGGGGTCTCGAAGGGCATGGAGATGGGGATGGGGATCGGTGAAACGATACCGAGCGGGGGCGACCCCCGGGAGAGGAGGGCTGCGGCGAGGTGGGCAGGGACAACGGGGGGATTGAGGCTCGTGGCTCGCGGGGGGTGCAGTCGTTTCGAGCGAGTGCTTCCGGGGAGTGCCTGGGGGCTCTCGCCGCCACGGCGGAGCGCAGCTCGGAGATCTGGTCAGAACGGACCTCGGGAGAGCGCGTTCTTCTGTTGTCGGCGATGACGGGCGTCCAGAGGGGGGGTGGATGACGCAACGCCCCCCCCCCCCCCGCCGTGTGTTCCAGCACCACAGCTGCGCCCGCGCGCACGACGACGATGAGCGACGAGCGAGGAGCGACGAGCGACGAGCGACGACGACGAGGACGACGGCGACGACGCGAGCAACATGTAGGCGGCGATCTGCCCCACAGCGCCTGTGTACACCACAATGCTCGCGTGCACTACAACGCTTGTGTACATCACATGCCTGCGTACACCGCAACAGCCGTGTAAGCCGTGTGGAACGTAGCGCCTGTGTACACCAAGTCCTTGCGTTCACCACAGCGCCTGTGTACACCACAGCGAATGTGTACATCGCAGCAGCCATGTGCAACACAGCGCCTGTCGACACCACAATGTTTACGTGCACCGCAGCGCCTGTGCACATCACATCGCCTGTCTACACCACAACATCCGCGTGCAACGCAGCGCTGGTGTACACCAGAGCGCCTGCGTGCACAGGACAGGTACAAGGAGCATGTCGGTGAGGATCTGCTGCGGACAATAAAAAACGCCACGGCAGGGAAGTGCTGATAATCGAATGCGACGTTTTTCCCTCCTCGTCTTCCTTCTCCTCCTCGTCCTCGTCCTCCTCCTCTTCCTCCCTCACCCTTCCCCCCTGTCGTGCGGGTCGGAGGTACAGCGCGCGTGCGCATCTCAGCGTTAATGGTCTACTGGACCACATCAATTGGTTCTCGGACGGCCGATTTAACTGGAACCTCCTGGACGCAAGTGAGAGTTAGGATGACGCCGGCGGACTCCGGAGGACTCGTAGATTCCAGCGGCGCTCTTTTTTCCATAAGGATTTCTTTCCAAATCCTATATAAAGAATGTCCACTGGCGTCCATTTTAGCATGCGGATTGCTTATAAAACAGATCAATATGACTATATATATATATATAACAGTGGTGCTTTGTTGCACACGGTTGCTGTGCTGAACACCAGCGCCATGGTGCACACAAGCGCTGTAGTGCACGCAGCCATTGTGGTGTACACTGGTGCTGTGTTGCACACGGCGGATGTGGTGTACGCAGGCGCTGTGGTGTACACAGGCGTTGTGGTACAGATCGCCACCGACATGCTGCTGCTACCCGTCTCCGGTCATTCCTACGTATTCCCAGACGCCGCCGGCGCGAAACGTGACCTTAGCGGCCCCGTCCCCCCCCCAAATGATTGCCGTCATCGGCCCGAATAAAAAAAAACAAGCTTCAGCTGCGTCCGTGCGCACGCCGACGATGAGCGACGAGCGACGAACGACGAGGGACGACGACGACGACGACGGCGACGAGGGCGGCGACGGCGACGGCGACGGCGACGGCGACGGCGACGACGACGACTGCGGACCAGACTCCTATGCGGATTCCTCTGCGGACACCTGTGCGGATCACGATGCGCACGGCGGCAGTGCCCGGAACGCACTGGGGGGGGGGGGAGCGTTGCGTCATAGGGGGGGGGGACGAAGCCGGGTGCCACGACGCCCGTCATGCCCCAGGCAAGAAAGAAACGCGCTCGGAAGCGTCGGGGGATGCGCTCGGAGATGCGACACGGCGCAGAGGTTTGAGAGAGGCTTCTTCGCCAGGAAGAGCGGCGAGGGAAATAATAATAATAATGCAATAAAAATCATAAGAAGAAGACGAAGAAGAAGAAGAAAAAGAAGAAGAAGAAGAAGAAATACTCCGTGGGGGCCATGTCCGTCCATCAACTAGACATTCAAAGGCCCCAGAAACTATCCTCACGAGGAGGATCCAAAACGTCGGGGGACGCTGGCCCCGAAGCTACACCGAAAACTGGTGCACCGCCCGAGGGAGGCAGGGAGGAAGGTACCCACTGCCTCGGAGACAGCCGGGGAGTCTACACTGCATGGACCTTGAGAAAATCAGTCAAGAAGAGGGATAAAGGCAAATCTGTTCAAAATCGGTCCCGGGACCCCTCCCGGAAACAACCTGGTGCAAGGTTTCATCCCAAATCCGCTTTTGCCAGCCCGTGGGCCCGAAACCGTCCCCTGGCGACCGAGAAGGACAAACCACGCCTTCTCGAACCCCATGCACCTTCAACCTGCCCCTCCCCACCCTCCGTGCTGGTCGGAAGCAGTGATGGGCAACCTGAGACCCACATCTGGCCCCAACCACTGCCCACACCCCTGTGTGAGGTGGACTGCCTGGCTCCGCTCTGCCCCCCCAAGGCCCCGCTGCCCCCGCCCCTGCGGGGGGGCAAGGGGGGCGAGGACGAAAGGGAGGCAGCTCTCTGCGCCGCTCTCTCCCGAGCCCGGCGGGCCAAGCTATCTCGGGTGTGGTGGATCTGCTCGATGAGCGCCCCGAGAGGAGTGCGTGGTGCAATTATTACCCCTACCCTTGTCCAGGGTTGTTTGTCGCCCACCGCGGTTAAGGTTGCTTTGCGCTGCGATGGCAAAGCCGCTCCATCAACATTGCGGCCGAACTCTGTCAATTCGAGGTCGCTTTGCCCAAGAGACAATGCATTGGCGCGCGCGTTGCAAACATCTGACAGACAAATAATTGGGCCAAAGGACTCGTCCACCTGACTTTGGACGCGCGCTGGCGAAAACAACATATCATGAGCAATCAGGCTAATCCAATGGGGTGAGATCAGCTCGCGCAGTAACCTTGAAGGGGAACGCCGCCGAGATGGGGACCTCCCAAATTGTCTGAACTCACCCCCGAGCTGATGTGCCCCCAACGGTTTGGGGATAACTGTTTCAGACCAAAGAGAACTAACACAGCTATCCCCAAACCATAAAACCCCTTGCCCCCACAGACCTGTAAACGCACACGCGTCGAGACACGTGCCCCCAGGAAGCCTCTCGCGAGGCAACACTACAGAAGAACCATGTGTAAGCAATTATCCCCGAACACATTCCACGTCGCCTGCCATGCGAGCAAGCGCGCCGCGGCGCAACCGTTTCTGCTCAGCGCTGCCGAGCAGAATGACGAGCCCCTCACCCAAGCTAGCAGACAATTCGTTTGGCGAGTTGCAGCCTCCCCAAACGAGAGGCGCCGGCGTTTGAGCCAAGGGCGCGCGCGTGCCTTTAAAAAACACGGCGTGCAACCTGCGAGACTCTTCCCCCGGACAAGGGTCGGGATACGTATCTCGCGGCGGAAAGGAGAGCGGCGCCTCCGTGTGCACGCGCACGTGACAAACAGAACAGCAACCATGATGAACCAGCGGCAACACACACACACACACAAACGGGATGGGCAGGGTTGAGGACCAGCCGACGGGCCGGGGCGGTGCCTTATGGGAAGATGCCGAGATCGAAGGCTTACCCTCGCCAGGCCCACTGCGGCCAACCCCCGCAGACACTTGCCAGCACGGACGGTGTGGGCCAGAAGAGGATGGGTTACGCTTAGGTCGGGCGTGTCCCTGTACAGGCTGATTTTGAAGGAACCATTTAAAACACCCCAAACATATGCAGAAATACTCTACAATACCAACAACATCGTCCCCTGACGATGTTTGGACTATTTCTGAAGATGCCTCCTGTAGAGCGATAGGCCCGACTCATGGCTGCGCTTGGACTGACAACCCTGGCAGCGGCGCTGGCATCGGAAGGGTCGCCAGCAAGAGCCGGCACGCTTGGGTCAGGGGGACGTAAGACCTGGGTACAGGGGACTCGGAAATCCCCGACGTGGTCGTCAAAAAAATGACGAGGCCGAGCCTGCATTTGACGAGGCCTCCCGCTGCAGACATCCCACGAAACTCCTCCTCGTCAAAATCCGAGGCGCGGTCGTCAAAAAACGATGGCGAACTCGAGTCCTGGCAAACCCGGGTCTTACGCTCCCCCGATTGAGGTGAGCTTCCTGGCGAAGTCCTGGGCAGCGCGCAGAGCTTCAGCGGTCGAACCGGCGCGCTCGGGGCGAGCCTTGTGCCAGCACCGCTGGTAGCTCGTTTTCCGCGGCTGCTGCGAGAGGGCGCCGCCTGGCGTGCGCTTCCCGACAGCAGCGCCGGCAGCGTGGAATACAATTGACTACCTACCAGTCCACCCCAACCCAACCCGAAGACCCCAATTTCAGGTTGGGGGGGGTACGGGCTCCATATGTGTTTTTTCAGTGTTCCCCGACCCCCCCCAACTGGAAATGGAGGGCAAATTGAGGCCTTCGGGTTGGGTTGGGGTGGTTTGGTGGGTGGTGAACAATGGAACCAAGATGGCAAGTTCACGAAACTCACGGGAGGGGCAAGTGCATGACACGGGACGGGAGAATCACGGGCCCTGGAAACGACAAGGCCGTTTTTGCTACCGGTTCCGTTCTGCCGTGTTTTTGCCGGTTCCGACGCCGTTTGTTCACCGGTTCCGTCGCCGTTGTTTGACCGCTTCCGGCTCCGGTTCCAATCCTGGAGCCGTTTTTTGTTGCCGTTTCCGGTCGCGTTTTTTTTTGTCGTTTCCATTTCCAAGGGGCATTTTTTTGGAAATGGTGAAAAAACGGCCCTGCCGTTTCCGGGGTCCACAAAGGGCCAGAAGCGCCCCTACGATAGCCCCAGAGGCCCCCCCAGGACTTCCGGGGAGGCACCCACGGCCTCCCGCGCACCCCACCAACGGGGCCCCGAGGGCCAAAGGGGACCCGGCAATCGCACGCGAGAAGCTGGGGTCATATGTTTGGAAACGGTGAAAAAACGGCCCTGCCGTTTCGGAGACCCGCTCGCACTGCAGCACGTGTCGAGCCCGCACGCTCGGCCGGAGCATCCGGGCAACCTCTGGTGGCACCGCTGGCAAAAGGGCTGCTCGCCGGTATGCGAGTAAGATCGAGTGCGAGCAGCGCTGGCGCATACAAGGGCACCGCGCGCGAGAACCAGCACGTTCGAAGAACCCCACATCCTGCTTACAGTCAGGGCGTTGACCTAAGGAACCCCAAATAAGGAGCGAGGCCCCTTTTTCCATGAGTTAAACTTCGATTTCCGATCCGAAACATGAAGAAAACCCGAGGCAAGCTGTGAAACACTTACGGAACGCGGAGCCCCTCCCCAACCAAAAGGGTTCCTTCTTCAGGGCCCCGACTGTACAAGCGCACCGCGCGCGAGAACCAGCACGTTCGAACAACCCCACATCCTGCTTACCTCCCTCCTCCCTCCCCGCCAGCTCCGTGGCTTGTCTGCTTCCTCCGCGTCCTACAGTGTCCGCCTGATTGTCCAGCGAACACTCGGGGGGGGGGGGGGGGGGAAAGGGGGAAGAGACAACACCATGACAGAGCACACACCGTGAAGCAATCCTGAGAACACTGCCAACGCAATCGAAACAAAAGGGTCGCTAAGCAATCCCACCGCTGGACGGTTTGCCCCTGGCCGTCCTACACATATTGTTTTATTACACTATCTTGTAAAAAGCTCCTCCCGACGACCACGACGAAGACGCGGAAGACACCCAGGGCAAAAACGCACCGAGCATGAGGTGTGCTGGAACACCTGAATGGCAAAGCTAGGGAGGGATACACTCAGGGGGGAACCATCAAACTGAGATCGGCGATGCATCGTGGATAGATTGGCGATCGGTCCCCGATAACGATGTCGTCCGCTCCTGGATGGGGTGGGCTATCGGGCCCCCATCTGCGATGAACGGGCGATAAGGGCCCGATGCGCCTTCCACTGAGCCTATCCCCCCTGAAGTTGAAAGCGAGAGAGACGAGACGACGACGACGAGGAAGACTCGCGGGGCAGAAGCGAACCAAGCATAAGGGTGTGCTGGAGGACGCCTTACGAGATGATGTTCCAATCCGCCGAGATGAGTGTTTCACTCCGCGGCTCCACAGGCACCGCTTCCATGGGGGCAGGTTGTTTGTTGTTTGATGATGTGTTACATAATATGGGGTGGTCCTTTCCATACATGAAATACATTTGATCTGGAACCACATTAACGCACTGTCGAGTGGCGTGTGGGATTCGTGTCCTATGTCGCACGCTAACGGTCCATACCGTCCAAAACTTTACACACCGATTCTATCGTTTGTCGAACTGCTCATCACGTTTCATGACTTGCGCACATCCCCACTAACTGTTCAAAACTTGCACAACTGGATGAGCCGTCTCATAGACGGCAACAGCTCTCGCATACTGTCTGATTGGTGTCGAGCGCGCGGAAGTGCAGGCCGCTGCTCACTGCAGCGAGGCACGGCCCTCACTCCCTTTGCACGCCTCCTGGCATGCCCCGCTCCCTCCCCCCAGCTGTACTATCGCATAGATGTGGCAACGCGTAGTTGAACGCACGCGTCTATCCATACATAGACATATACATATAACCACACACGCATATATATATACACATACACATATATATATACATATATATGTATGTCTATACACATAAAGATATGGATTCAGACGCTCGCGCGTGTATGTAAACACGTGACGGTGACGGTGACGGTGCCCGCAACAATGTCAACGCGAGGGGACTAAAGCGGGGCGGGGCCGGGACGCCCGATGTACATGTATAACGAAACCGTGTGAACATGTAATGTAAACACGTACGTGTATAATATGTACGGCATCGTTCCCTGCACCTACCACCGTCCCGTCACCTACGGCAGGTTCGTGTCGTGCCGACCCCAGCGATGGTTTCTGTCACCTCGGGGATCGTTCAACCTTGAACGATCGGCCGCTGCCGCAACGGTCGATCGTTCAACATCGATCGATTCTGGGTCGCCGGCGGCGTTCAACCTTGAACGCCCGCGCTGGGGTCGCCGCTGGTCGACACCACGCAAACCTACAGTACATCTCTCTCTCTCTCTGTCTCTCTGTCTCTCTCTCTCTCTCTCTCGCTCTCTCTACCCCCTCTCTCTCTCCTCCCCTCGCCGCCTCAAGGCTCCCGCCCCCCAGCTCTTCCCGCAGGGGCCCCGCGCGCCCCCCCTCTCCCCCCCTTCTCCTCCCCTTCCCGCGGGCCCGCGGCGGCTGACATCAGCGGGCGCTCGCGCCCGCTACCGTGCAGAAGCCCGGGGCGCTCGCGCCACGAACCTCTCGGCGAGCGGTTGACTACCTACCAGACCACCCTAACCCAACCCGAAGACCCGAATTTCGGGTTGGGGGGGGTAAGAGTTCCACATGTTTTTTTTCGATGTTTCCCGACCCCCCCCCCCACTGGAAATCGAGGGTAAATCTGAGCCTTCGGGTTGGGTTGGGGTGGTTTGGTGGGTGGTGAGTAGAAGCCCGGGGCGCTCGCGCCACGAACCTCTCGGCGAGCGGCGCTCACGCCCGCCAGCCATCGGATGCAAACACAATGAAGCGTCCGTCACCATGACCACGACCATCGTAGTGTCAATCTCCGCAGGCACGCGTCCGCCATCGCACCAGCCGCACCAGAGTCTAAGAAACATCCAGGTATCACCAGGGTGTCGCCAGGGTTATGGGGTTCGAGGCCAGCCAGACCGGGATATCCTCGATGTTGACAAAATAAGGGAAAAAGTGCAAGCACGCGCATGACACGATGGCACGAGTGTGAAGTATGTACGGATCGAGAGTGCATAATTCATAGTTGCGCGAAGCGCAATTGTGAACTAAGTCCAACGCGGAAGGACAGGTACGAAACACATGTGAAACCGAACGCACATCTAAAGCGTGAGAAACGTGTGAAAACAAGTGCGAACCATGTACGAAGTGCACAACCTATATGACACAGTATCTCTCTTACACTTTTCTCACACTTCAGATTTCTGAACTTCTGTACGTCGTACCTCTGCACGGCACCTCTGCACTTACACTTCGGCATGGTACTTGTTCTATTGCAAGTGGGATAATTTGCGTCCCTCTGGGGGGGGGGTCCGTGTAGCTGGCCGGAATCTGTCAACACCAGGGTATAACCCGAGTATAGCCAAGGTCTCACCAAAGTATCGCCAAGGAACATCACAGGGTATCTCGATGGTGTCTGAATATGTCGCGAGAGGTATCTCGCCGCATCTCGCCGAAACCCACTCTGGCAGCCTTGCCGACCACCCGGGCTGCATTGGAGCCATCTTGCCCCCGCCCCCCAGAAACAGTGCTTGCGATCTGGTGGCAGCTTTAGGCTTGGCGGGCGCGCGCCACGCAAATCCTGGATGGTCACGGGTGGCGCCCGACAGAAACCCGAATAGCAACTGCATGCCCTCCCACCCCGTCGTCCAACGGACACTCCTCGGCGCCGCACCGCCCCCCCCCCCTCCTTCCCACCAGGTCCAGCGAAACGGCTCTGGGCCGTTCGGACCCCGTCTCCGATTGTTTTCCTGTCTGTTCACGCTTCGCGTATCTCTGCTAGCCCATATATATATATATATATATACTACGGGGTGCGTCTGCGCGAGTCTCCCCCCGATCGTGTCGGCCCCCCCCCGCGCGGCGGAGCGTGCCGCAGCCCGGCCCATGGTCCAGGCGGGCGCGCTCACCACTCGCTCGCCCCCTGGCCCCCCTTCTCGCTGCCTCTCCCCCTCCGCGCGGGTCGCGCCCCCACAGGAGGCCCCGCCTGCGGCCTCCCGCGCTCGCGCGGCCCGCCCGCTGTGAGGTTCGGCGCGCTCGCCGCAGGGATGGTTCCCGCGGGAGCGCCACCGAACGCCCCCGCGGGCGCGTTCCACCTCGCGCGCAGACCCCCCACTCATCTCGGCGCGCCCCCCGCGCGGGTGTTGTGCCCCGCGGGGAGCTCCCTTCAGAGACCCAACGGCCCCCCAAAGGCTCGTGAGGACGGCTCTCAAGTGGCTCGTAAGTTGCGCGTAGCTGTTGAAAGTGGCTGGGAAGTTCAGGAGCCGCCGCCGTCTATCTGACGCTGTGCACATAACTTGTCGGAGCTGTCAGAGCGCTGTGTCATAGCTACTTGGTGTGTCTGTGATTGAGCGTTCGTAATTGAGTTGTACCACAAAACTACTTGATCAGCTCACTTACGATCATATCACTTAACGCGAGCTGCTATTACTGAGTGTGGTTGTTTGCCAAGTATACCGCACGCACGGCTTTATATGTTTTACCGCATGGTTGGAAACTCTTGAAATCACTTGCGACGACTATAACAGCAGCTGTTCCTTCTACAGTCACTCTTGCACAACGCATAACATATCCATAGCTATAACCAGAATCTAAAAATGCTCAGCTCGCAGTTCGGAGGACAAAAAGGAAAAAAGGGGCCAAGCAACTGGCCCCAGCGGCCATCGTCGAGGAACAAAATGCTCGGATTGAACAGACCGTCTCGCCGCAGAGCTGGCCCCCCCCGCCCGCGTCCTTGCCGCGCGCCGCGCAGACCGAGGCCACGGAGCTGCGGGGGCCGTCCTCCAGCACCAGCAGCCTTCCGCGCGGAGGGGTAGGAGGCCCCCGCGAGAACGGGGGTAGCACTGCCAGCGTCCTTGCGGTGGCGCGCAGTTGTGCACATCCCTCCGCGCAGACCCACTGCACCCTGATGTTCCACCATGTCAGTAGTCCACCAGACAAGGCCGTGGAGGTTGCGCCCTGCGGGCCAAGACGGGCCCTGGACCCCCAGGGCCGCTCCCCCCCCCGGGGGCACCAGCTCTGCATCCCGAGACGTCTCCTGGCGGTCCAGAAGGCTCGCGGGGGGGCCCACGGAGAGCCCGCGGGGGGGGCCTCGGAGCCCCTTCCGCCCAGGCTGCTGTGTTGCCATCGCTCGCAACTGGCGGTGGCTACATTGGGACGGGGGGGGGTGGGGGCCTGGGTACCGGCAAGGCAAGGCGCGGGCAGGGTGGGGTGCGTCGGGGCGGGAATGCCCTTCGCCAGAGTACGCGCGCGGGCGCACCAACAGGGGGGGGTGGGGTGGGGGTCCGGCCCAACGCCTCCTTCTCACGTGCGATCCTCGCCCGCTGCCCAGGAGAAGTGGCTCTGGCCCGAGCGGCAGCCGTTACGCGCGTCAGCCTCAGCTCCCGAACTGGTACGGAGAAGACTGAGATCTCCGATGGGCAAGGCCCGCAGCCGCACCTCCGGCCTGCGGTCAGAAGCCCCTGACCGAGACAAAAGGGAAACCTCACCCGGCCTGCGGTCAGAAGCCCCTGACCGAGACAAGAGGGAAACCTCACCTCGGCGGGCCGCTCCCCGCCGTGTTCGAGGGCGGGGGTGCGCAGAGAGGAGAGGGAGGAGGAGGAGAAAGTGGAGGAGGGGGAGGAAGAGGAGAAGGAGGAGTAGGAGGAGAAGGAGGAGAAGGAGGAGGAGGAGGAAGAGGAGGAGGAAGACGGGGAGGAAAAGGAGGAGGAGGATGAGGAGGAGGAGGAGGACAGACAGCCTACCCCCGCTCTCCCCCCCTCCCTGGTCCGTCTCCCCGTCGCTTCTCCCGCCACCTCTTGATTTGGGCTGTCCACCTCTCACCACAGGCTGGGGGGAGGGAGGCCGAGGGTATCGGGGCGATCGCTCGGCACTGCCCGCAGCTCAAAGCTCAAAGCAGCAGCAGCAGGAGGAGGACCCAAGGGGAGTCTTCAAGCTGCACATTTGGACGCCCGACATGGGTAACACTGACAAGCGTTGGCACAATGCCCAGCAACGAAAGCTGTGCAACATCGACAGCGGCCGCTGTTGGGCAGGGGGCCTCCTGTCTCAAATGGGCAACGCCCGCGTCGACACCGACAGCGATTCCTGCTCGAAATGAACCAGGAATGCTGTCGGTGTTAGTACCCATTTTTTCCGTACCCACCTCGTTCGTGCCGAGGATGAGGACCCAAAGGGAGCCCTTAAGCTCCACTTCTCAAGTCCACGGGCGCCAAGTGGCCCAACACAGTCAGACGCCGGTCATCTGAGGATGGGATGCACCGGGAGCGAATTGATGCACGAAGGCGAAAAAGAATAGAGCCCAAGGGGGGAACAGGGAGGTGACCGCCAAGACCTCAGCCCTCAAGCTGCACAATTGGCGGCGCGCACATGGAGGTACGAGGCGTGGGCAAGGCTTCTCAAGAGGCAGCTGCTTCTCAGAAGGCGCCAGCCCTACATCTACAGACCAGGCCCGCGCCTTCTACGAAGCAGGTGTGCTTCCAAGAAGCCTTCCCCTCTCCCCCCTGCCCCCCTCTGCGCGTGGCCGCCACAATCTCCTCAACAGGCCCGCTTCCCGAGCTTCGTTCAACCGATTCCCCATCCCCACCAGCTTAGGCTGGGTACCACTGGCCGATCCACACCCCTGATGGGGATGTAGAGGCTGTGCTCTTATGGTTTTGAGGGGCATGATCCCCAACTGCGGTGGTGAGACGGTGGGGCTCGAGACGTGGATGGGGATGGGGCTAGGGCCAGGTCGGGCACGTCCCCCTGCAGGCGCATTCTGGACGAAACCTCGAACATCATCAGCAAATCTCAAAAACATAGTCAGACACATACTCGAAACAGATCGTCCACCGACTATTTTGTTGACCATTCTCGAATACTCCTCCTGTAGAGGGACAGGCCCGACTTGGCAACGGGCCCGCTCCCTCCTCCTCCCGGGCGGCCTGCTGCGCACCTCGCAGGCCGTGCCCGGCGGCCCGAGTGCGGGCCCCTCGCAGAGGCAGATGTACTCCTCTCTCCGGCAGGGCTCGAGGTAAGCAGTGCTTTCCGTTCTCGTTTTGTTCTCGTCGTCCCTGGCTCTGCCTTCGTTCCACACTTGCTGCAGAACGACGTCAACACGAAAACGGCCCACGAAACTGCCAAGACACCGTTTCGCTCGAGCCCTGCTCTCCGGCCAGCCGCTACGCCGGGGTGGCCACACACGGTCTAGGTCCAGGGAGGGGGGGCGTCGGCACGCACAGCGGCCTGGCGCGGCGTGCTCGGCGGAGCTCCGCACCCTGCCCTGAGGTCGGGCACGTCCTCCTGCAGGGGGCCTTCTGGACGAAGGAGGAACAGTACCCCAAACATGCTCCACAAAATATTAGAAAATAAAAGAGCAATCGGTGCCCGTCTATTCTTTGACTATGTGTGAACAGTTCTGAAGGGGCCCCAGGACACACAAACAAATACACACAAGTACAAACATTCCCCGTATTGTCTCATATCTTCTGGGGTTTTGTGTTCCCCCCCACTTCCCATATTTTCCCAGATGTTCCTGGGAATCGACGATTGATTGTGTCTGTGTGTTTTTTCCCCTCTTGAGTCTGTTCTTTGACCATGTGTGAGCAGTTGTCCTCCTGCAGAGGCACGCGCCCGACTTACGGCCTACCCCTGCCGCTCCACGAGCTGCCAGAGCAGCGCTGAGCGGCGAGGGTGGGGCTCGGCCTTCGCCGCCGCTCGCTGCCTCCCCCCTGGGGTTCGGTCGGGCATGGCCTCCTGCAGGCGGGTCTTGGACGAAACATAAAAGCACATCTTGGCGCCGCCTCTTTCGAGGGCTGCTGGGGGGTCCCGCGGGGCACTGTCGCGGGCCGCCCGCAGACTTGGCGGCGCGGCGTCGAGTGTTTAGCCCCCGCACTGACAAGTGCAAGAAGGAAGCAGGGAAGCTGGCGGGCGAGCTAGGCCTCGCTCGCTGCTTGCACTATCTGTAAGCAGGTTGAATCATTTTGTCGAGCGCCGCGGCGTCATGTCGCAGGCAGCGCTGCATCTTTAGCGCACGACAGTCAAACACATCCAAAAATACCACAAACAGTAGTCGAGAAAAATCGCCCCCCGGCTACGTTTTGATGATCATTGGAACGCCCCTCCCGTAGAGGGACATGTCCGATTCACCCTGCCCCTGCCGCCCATCGAGCTGCCAGCATCGTTCAGCGGCGAGGTTAGGGCTCGGCCTTCGCCGCCGATCGATGCACCCCCCCTAGGGCTGCGGCAAGTCCAGGCGGCGCCGGCACGCGCAAAGGCTGTTTCGACAATCGTTGGCGGCCCTGGAATCGATGGCGGCCCCAAGCGTTCAGGGCAATCCCGCTGGGTCCAGCGGCGCTACCGTCTCCCTGGGTGCAGCCGCGTCACAGACTCAACCTTGAGCGCCTTCGCTGGCGTCGCCGGCGCGCCCACGCCGCATGAACCTACTGTAGGCAGGAGTTCCGCGGCAACTCATGGAAGCCTCCCATGCAGTCTTGTTTGGGAGGCGACGATAGGGGGGACTGGCCTTAGCGGGCCCTGGAAACGACAAGGCCGTTTTTTGACCTGTTCCGTTTTGCCGTTTTTGTTGCCGGTTCCGACGCGTGTTTTTACCGGTTCCGTCGCCGTTTTTTGACCGGTTCCAGCTCCGGTTCCAATCCTGGAGCCGTTTTCTTGCCGTTTCCGGTCGCCGTTTTTGTTGCCGCTTCTATTTTCAAGAAACACTTTTTTGGAAACGGTGAAAAAAACGGCCCTGCCGTTTCCGGGGCCCACAAAGTGTCCCCCCATATCGTAGCCCCAGATTGTTGGCTGTTGCAAATCGACGCTCATCGACGCTAAATCTACGCTAATCGACGCTAGCCGGCGCCAGTCGACGCTGAACAAGCGCTACCCCACAGATTGCCAGAAGCTACTCGACACGAACGTATTCTAGGGACGGAATTACGCAGGTACACGAGGCTCCCATGATTTGCTACCGAACAAGAATGGCCTTTGATGCGCGGCTTGCCGAACGCTGCACGCGATGCAAGAGCCGCACTCTGCGTACTTCATCTTGGAGCTCCGGCGCGCCCAGACATCCCCTGCCTCCATTGTCTTAATGCGAGGTTCCCCGAAATCCGAGCCGTTCCCCCTGGACCGGTCTTGCATCGCGGGCCGTTTCTTGACGGCCCCAAAACCCGGCGAGAGAGCCCCCAACGAGGCCGAAGCCCGAGAGAGACACCTCCGTCGTGCTTCTTGCTCCGACGCGCTGGGGAGCTCTCTGGGCACCCCGAGAGGCCGCGCACCGGAGGCTGCCCCGGCGAAGGGGCCGCCCGGGCGTGCCGCCCGATGCTTTTGGGCGCCCGAGTTATCCGGGGTAACTCGGGTCCAGGGTAACTCGGGCTTGGACTCCCGAAAAAAGGAACCCGAGTCAGCCCTGACCCGAGTGACCCCTGTTGATGTGGAGCTCTGGGCGCCCGAGGTATCCGGGGTAACTCGGGTCCGGGGTAAGTCGGGCTCGGATTCCCGAAAAGGGAACCCGAGTCAGCCCTGACCCGAGTTACCTTTGATGATGTGGGGCTCTGGACGCCCGAGTTATCCGGGGTAACTCGGGTCCGGGGTAAGTCGGGCTCGGACTCCCGAAAAAGGAACCCGAGTTGGCCCTGACCCGACTTACCCCTGATGATTCGGGGCTCCGATCCTTGGCCACCAGCCGCCCGGCGAACTGGGCCCGGGCCGCGCGCACGGCGGCGGAGGTCTCTGCGCCGACGGCCGCCATCAGCAGGCCCGAGGTCATGAAGTCGAGCCTGGCGGGCGCCCGAGCAGGAGGAGGAGGAGGAGGAGGAGGAGGAGGAGGAGGAGGAGGAGGAGGAGGAGGACGAGAGGAGGAGGAGACGAGGAGGAGGAGGACGAGAGGAGGAGGAGGACGAGGAGGAGGAGGAGAGGAGAGAGAGCAGGAGGAGGAGGAGGAGGAGGAGGGAGGCAGGGGAGGACGAGGAGGAGGAGGTCTACGAGGAGGCGGACGAGGAGGAGGAGGAGGACGAGGAGGAGGAGGAGGAGGAGGACGAGGAGGAGGAGGAGGAGGAGGAGGAGGAGGACGAGGAGGAGGAGGAGGAGGAGGATGAGGAGGAGGGTCGGGGGTCGGGGGTCGAGGGTCGCAGCTGGAGCATCGGGTGCGTTCTTCTCTCTGCATCCTCTGGGGGGGGCCGCGAGGCCTCGCGTGGCCACGGCGGGCTCTGCCCGGCGGGAAGCGCTGGGCAGGACGCTCTCCCAGGAGAGGTCTGGGGATCGTTTGGCGCCATCCAGGGCAGCTCTTTCTACATAGGATTTGTTTGAAATATATGATTTTTAGTACATGATCAACGAGTGAATACATTTAATACACAATCCCTGCATGAACACATCAATGATCAATGATCCATGATCTCATGATCAATGATCAATGCAATTTTCATATACATTTAGTACATGATCAATGATCAATGAACTCATCGTTGTTTTTAATACACAACCCCTGCATTTTTTACTACATGGTCCGCACGCGGAGCGTGTATTCAAAACGGCGCTGGCCCCCAAGGCTCCGAAGCATCTGCTCGTGTTGCTCGGGGCGTCCTCTCTCGACTTCGGCCTTGGGTGGGCCCTGCCTTCTCGGGCCCGGGGGGCCACCCGGAATGGGCCCCATGCACATAAGGGAAGGGGTCGGGACCTCTGGGGCCGCGCATCGAAAGCACCCGATCGTCGAATCTGGGGGCGTCCGCGAGGCAGTGCCTGGTGCTCGTCACCACCACGCGGGCGCCGCCCAGGGGTCGCCTCGGCCCCCGTTGGCTCTGGAGGGGCACGCGTTTGTCGCCCCAATCTTCTCTAGCAGGCCCCGCACAGCCCCGAGAAGGCCCCCTGGTCCCAACTCCAGGAGGCCGCAGGGGAGGAGAGTGCGAGGAGGGGATCTGTCCATATCCAGCGCCCAGCGAGAACCGACGTCTTGGGACCCCAGGGGGATGATGGGCAATTATGGATACATCTGGGCTCCAGGGGTTGCCCAAACATGTCCCACACCCATCGACCCCCAGGCCAAAGAAGGTGTGCACCAGCGGCCGTTGGGTTTCCCCCTCCCCCTGTCCACCTTCCTTGGACTTCCAGATCGCGCTGGAGGGGGGGGGCGGGCGAGGGGGGTGGACGGCCCCCTCCACGAATCCCAATGGTCTCCAGAGCCTCCAAATCTAGAGTCCGTGGCCTCCAAAATGCCCAAGGCTCCTTCGAAGCTTCCTCAAGCTTTCGAGTAGGAGCTCGACTACAGCTGACTTACCTTACAATTGATTTCGCCGCCGAGATCTACAGCAAGTTCATGGATTGTGCGTAATTCGATGAACGAAAATGCGAAGTGCTTTGCGTAGATTCGACGACAATTTCAATGGTGGAAGGCATCAATGATGTAGTGTATCTCCTACTCGAAGGTTCTTCTTGTTCTGACGGCGGACAGACGTTGCACGATCGCGATCGAGTGCAAGGAACTGGCGGTTCCAATCGCCGGGTACGCTTGGACGAGAGGGCTTGCCCAAAGAAGCCTCCAAGACGCCCCAAGAGCTCTCCAAGCGAGCTCTCAAGAGGGCCCCAAGAGGCTCAGATCGCCTTAATCCCAAATTAAACCGTGCATGTTTAGCATGCTCGCCTTTCTGGCAACGTCAAACAAAGGCGGTCCACGAGAACCCCAAGAGCCACGCAGGCCCAAGAGTGCCCAAAGACGACCCCAGGGTCCCGAAGATGGTCCAGGACCCCCCCAAAAGAGCCCCAAGAAGAGATCAAGAGGGGGAATTCGAACTGACATGTCGAGCCGTGCCCACCTATATTGCCCCACGAGCCTCCCAGAGGCCCTGGAGGCGCCCTCAAGAGGCCCCAAGAGGCCTCCAAGAGGCCCCCTACATGCCCCCAAGAGGCCCGAAGAGGCCTCCCCCAACCACCAAAATGCCTTCAAGAGCCGTCCAAGATGCCCCTGAGAGGCATTTCAAAAGGCACACGTATGCATCCAAGAGTCTCCTGACCCACAGCCCGGGCACGGTGGCGGGATGACCTGAAGGCCACTCGACAACTTCCACGATCGTCGGACGTTCTCACTCGATGCAAGGGTCAGCGGAATGGCGTAAGCCTCTTGAATAATTGGGTGGTCCGAAAAGACGTGTGGTGACAGACCTCGCAATGACCTCGACATACCCAGAGACCTCACAGCACGGTCCGCAGCCACTCTGTTCCCGGACCCCAAAGGGCCTTCAACGGCCCGCCGAGACATCCTCGGCGAAAAGCTCGAGTCCGCAAACCGCGCCGTCACCCCAAATCCCGACTGATTCACCACACCAGCCCTGCTCCGAGCGTTTGGCGGCCATAGCTCGTGTCTCCAGCGGCCGTTCGGGATGATCTGAGCACCCCTGGAACGCTCTCGGCGAGGCACAACTGCTGGAACGCATCCCGAGGCAGCACAAAACCTCAGGATCGTACGCAAACGTGCGACAACCTCGCCATTCAGGAGGGGAGCCGAGCAAATCCCAGCTTCGGGGGAGACGCGCCAGGACGAAGACAGCAACGACGCAAACAAACAGACCCCCGACGCCACGACGGTGACCCGCAGGACCCTCTGGAGTTCTCGACGACTCCCCGATGGCCCACTCTTCCTCCCGAGTGGGTGCTTGGCCCCGCGGCCAGGACACGGGCCCCCGGAGGCCGAACACAGCGCACAGCGCCCGAACTACGAGCTGCACGTTCCAGGGCGCTGGAGGCCTGGGGAGAAGCCCCAGGCCTCGGGGAGGTGGCGCGCCGCGGAGCGAACAGAAACAAAAGACGCTGCCCCGCCCGAAGTTCCAGATCTGGCGACGCACCCTCTCTTTCCTCGGACGCGGCACACAGATGTATATGTAGATGTGTGTCTACATATATATATATATATAAATGTATATTATATATATATGCATAACTATATGTGTGTGAGTCTACACAGGTGGAAGGCAGAACATCCCCCCCACTATGATCATCCCGACAGGCGAAGCCGTTCAGCAAACGCACCCAAGGCAGGAATCGAACAGGGCAAGTAAACGACCAGGGCCGTTCAGTAAACGTCAACTGTCGGGTCCGGGTGTTTGTTTCCTCCCTTGAATAAAACCCTGACTGACAAGCTGCTTAGGGCAACCTCCGCCCCTTGGGAGCGCGAGGCTCGGGTCGGACGCAAGGGGGTGATACCAAAGCTTGGACGCCCGGAATGGGTACGGAAATGATGGGTACAATGCCCAACATCAAATGTCGTCACAAACCCACAGCGGTCGCTGTTGGGCAGGCGGCCTCCTGTCTCGAAAGGACACCGTCCGCGGCGACACCGACAGCGTATCCGGTTCAACGTTCAACAGGACCAGGAACTGCTGTGGGTCTTCGTGCCCACTCTTTCCGTACCCATTTCGATCGTCCCGACAGAGGAGACTTTGGCGAGTGACTCGCTGAAGTACAGTCGGGGCGTTGACCTAAGGAACCCTAAATAAGGAACGAGGCCCCTCTTTCCATAAGCTGAACATCGATTTCGCATCGGAAACTTGGGGAACATCCAGGGCAAGCTGCGAAACACTTAAGGAACACGGAGCCCCTCCCCAACGAAAAGGGTTCCTTCTTCAGGGCCCCGACTGTAGCGTAGCTGACTTTCCGTCCACGTCCACGTCCACGTCCGGATAGCGCAGCTGACTTTCCCAGCGCCCCCCCGCGCGCGCCGGAGGGCGCCGGTGTATCGAGCGGAGCTCACCTGGCGGTAGGGCCGAGGCCAACGGCATGCGCAACAGATCTCGACGCCTCCCCCGTGTTTTTGGAGAGGCTCGGACCAGGGTACCAACGCCCACACAGGGACTTCGGCGGCTCCCACTTTGGGACGACGATCCTAGATTCGGTGCCAGTGGAAAGCTCTGAGGAAGAGAAAAAAGCGCCATGAACATGAACTGTTGGCACTCTGCGCGGGTTTCTTGGAGCCGCGCTGGAGCCCCCTGCCTGGCGCGCGGGGCGCGCCGCGGGCGGCGTCGGAGGCGCCGCCCGGAGGGGCCCCGCGCGGATCCAAGAAATCCGCGCGGAGCGCCACATGTTTATGTGGATGTTTATGGCATTTTTTTGTTCTCGCTCTTCGAGATCTTTCGGCCACGCAGGGAGCCCCAAATGTCACCACCATCACAGAGATCGGGATCGTCTTCCTGCGGTGGAGGCGCACAAGCGCCAGCAGTGGTGCTGGTGCCGACCTCCAGGCCTCCTCCGACGTCATACACTTGTTTTGCATCGCGTCACCGCCAGAGGTCTCGACCCACTTCCCGGGACCAATGATGGGCCAATCATCCACCACCACTACCATAGGTAGGAAAGGGGGAGAAGGGAGGATGGGGTAGGTCCTCCTCCTTCTCCTCCACCTCCTCCTCCGCCTCCTCCGCCTCCTCCTCCTCATCGTCCTCATCCTCCCCCTCCTTCCCCTTCTCTTACCTATGGTAGGTGGTGGTTGGAAATCGGCTCATCGACAAATTGTTCATCCCGAGTCGTTTTGTTTACGGCCCCGCGGCCAGGTAAGAGCCCCCATGAGCCGAACAGAAGCACAACCTTCCGCCGTGATGTTTTTCGTGCCTCGAGGGGGTCTGGGCAGCCGTGCCGCACGAACGCCATCGTTTCGTCGACGACGACGACGACGACGAGGACGACGACAACGACGACGACGACGACGACCACGACCACGACGACGACGACGACGACGACGACGACGACGACGACGACGACGATCACGACGACGACGACGACGACGACGACCACGACGACGACGACCACGACCACGCCGACACCGACGACGACGACGTTGTCGACGACGACGACGACGACGACGACGACGACGACGACGATGACCACGACGACGACGACGACGACGACGACGTTGACGACGACGACGACGACGACGACGATGACGGTGACGTCGGGCGACGAAGACGTCGGGCGACGAGGACGTCGGGCGACGAGGACGACGATGACGCTGCCTCGACAGCCGCGCCGCCGCCGTGCCCGTGGCCGCCAGCGACGCCAGCACGGCGTCGCTGCTGGCGCCCGGCGGCTTCAGCACCGCCACCAACCTGAAGGGGCCCCAGGACACACAAATAAATATACACACAAATAAAACGATTCTCCATATTTTCCCATATTTTCTGGGTTTCTGTCTTCCCCCCCACTGCCCATATTTTCCAATGTTTTCTGGGAATCGACGATTAATTGTGTCTGTGTGTTTTTTCTCCTCCTGACAACCCGCGGCCCCGGCGCAGCACCCGGCAGGCGGCGGGCGCGGCGGCGCCGCTGGCCGGCGCCGCGGCGGGTCCGCGGCTGGCAGCCTCGCGCGGGGGCGGACCTCTCGAGAGCCTGCCGCCGCACTTCTGAGCGCAGGGGGCCCTCCCCCGACCTCCCCCCTCCTCCTCCTCCTCCTCCTCCTCCTCCTCCTCCTCCACCTCCTCCTCCTCCTCCTCCTCGCTTGTCCTCCTCGCTTGTCCTCCTCGCTTGCCCTCCTCCTCAACACCGAGAGTATCCTCGCTCCTCCTCGACGCTCCTCCTCCTCCTCGCTCCTCCTCGCTCCTCCCCCTCCTCCTCCTCCCCCCTCCTCCTCCTCCTCCTCCTCCTCGCGCCTCGCTCCTCCACCTTGCGCGCCTTCCGCGCGGCAAGGGCCGTGCTGCCGCGCTCCCGCCGCCGCGGCCGCAACGGCGGCCACTGTATGTACAGGCCGCAGCGGCAGCCGCGGCGGCCGCCGCGGGCGCGCGGGAGGTGCAGGTCGAGGGGTGTCGTCCTGCTGTGGGCCCCAGGGCCCTCACGGATCGATCTGGCCAGACAGATGCTGCCGAAGGATGGGGTCCAAGGCCCTGGGAGAAGCATGTTGCTTGCGATGCTGCAGTCTTCAGTGACGTCGGATCCCAAGGAAACGTGCGTATAGAAAGGGCCTGTGTTTGCGTCACTCATCCGTCAAGGTGGCGCCACCGTCGCGAATGATAGAGCGGGGGCACTGGCTACCGAAGTGAGGAGGCGTCGCGGGTGGGAGCGAAGGCGGACACCGCTGGCCAGCGTGCAGGAGCCGAGCAAAGGCGTGCCCTCGACCTCCGCCTCGCCGCGCCCCCTCCGCGCGGCGGGTGCCGCGGCCGCGGCGGCCCTCCGCCGCAGCGGCAAGGCACTCTCCTGGAGCGCGCCGCGTGAGGCCATGCCGTCCCTCCGGGCCCCCCCACCCCCTCCCCGCCCCCGCCCCGGGCCTCCGCAGGGCCCCCGGGCGGCCCGCCCTCCGCCTCGAACCAGCGCGCCCTCGCCGTGTGCAGCAACGCGCGCCCGCGCCGCCACAGCCCGAACCTCGCCAGGGCCCCCACCGCCGCGCCCACCAGCCCGAACGTGGCCACGTCCGCCCCATCGCCTTCTGCTGCAACTCGCGGGCGCCTCCCGTGCCATCTTACTGGCACCGGTAAGTCGACGCCAGCCGACGCCAACGGACGCTACATCGAGGCTCATCGGGGCTACATCGGCGCGTTCCAATTGATGACCAGACGCCAGCGGCCAGCGCGCGCTGCTGCGCTCCGAGAAACCGGGACTCTGAGGGCACGCAAGGCTCCCACGACTTGCCACCGGGGTCGCCGTCGTCCCGCGACGCGCGCAGCGTCGCCAGCGCCGCCTGCCACGCGCCGCCCTCGCGGCACGCGCGCGCCGCCGCGTCGCGCGTGGCGGCGTCGACCCGCACGCCGCCGCGGCGCGCGCCGGCGAGGAGGCCGAGGGCGTGCGCCCAGCGCCCCTGCAGCGCGCAGGCGCCGACTGCCGCGCCCAGCGCCTGCACGCCCACCTGCAGCCGCCGCCGCCGCATCTCCGCCAGCAGCGCCAGGGCCTGCTGCCACGCGCCGCCGGCGTCGCAGGCCGCGATGGCGCCAACGCACGCGGCCTCGCTGAGGCCGAGGCGGCGCGCCAGCGCCTCGCCGAGCAGGGCCAGGGCCAGCGGCCACTCCCCGCCCGCGCGGCAGGAGCTGACGGCCGCGCCGTAGGCGGCGATGCCGGGGGCCACGCGCGCACCGCGCATGCCGCGCAGCAGCAGCAGCGCCCGTTCCCACAGGCCGCCGCCCGCCACGGCGCTCACGGCCGCGCTGAGGACCACGACGTTCGGCTCGACGGACGCCCGCGGCAGCTCCTCCAGGAGGCCGAGGGCGGCCTCGGGGCGGGCCGGCGCCCGGAGCCCCCCGCCCCGACGACGGGGGAGCGTCGCAGCGGAGCGGGCCTCCCGCGAGGGGGCGCCGCGCACTCGGCACCGGTGGCTTTTGCGCGGGGCGCCCGCGCGGCACACGCCGCGACGGAGGAGAGGGCGCTCCCGCGCAACCATATACGTGGGAAGCTGCCGCGCGCGCGTCCGCGCAGGCGGCCCCGCTTGCGTCCGTCGCGCTCGGGCCCGTGAGGGGCCCCGGCGGCGCAGCGGCGAACCGGCGCCGAGTGTTTGGACCTCTGCGTCGGGCATGGGCGCCGGACACTTCGGCCGGCGGGCCTCCCACTGGCTGCACCTCCCGCACGCGCTGACCGCGGCGCCGTAGGACACGGCGTCCGGCAGCAGAGCCCGCAGGCACATGTCCTCGAGCAGCGCCAGCGCGCGCTGCCATTGGCGGCCCTTCTCGCAGGAGCTGACCGCGGAGTTGAGCACCACCACGTTGGCGGAGACCCTGCTCCTGCGAGCCACTCGCACTTCGGCCCGGCTCGACCAGGGGCCTCCCTCTGCGCGTGAGGGGTCCCGCACGAGGCCCGCCCCGCTCGGAGCGCGGCGAGGTCGCGCAGCGGCAACTCGAAATCTTCGGAGGCAGCTCGTGGGTTTGTCCCCAGGATGATCCAGGATGCTCATAAGATGTTTCCCGCCGAGACAGAGTGCACACGTCCGAGCGATACCAAGCATATGTCGGGGATGGACAGACCCCCCTTTAGTAAAACGTGGTCTAGTGAAAACGACCTGAGGTCCAAACCCGGCGGGCGCAGGCCTGGAAAAGAACGGCCACGGCGCCCCCTCGAGAACCGAAAACGCACAATTCACGAATCGACGTGTCACTCTTGGGGCTCCTGTCCACCTCCGACTCTGGGAGGCCTGGAGACTTGCAGCCGATTCCAGGGATGCTTGGCCCCCTGAGCCGGTCCCCAGGATGATCCAGGATGATCCAGGATGCTCATGAAATATTGCCCGCCGAGACAGAGTGCCCACGTCCGAGCGATACCAAGCATCTGGGAGGCCTGTCGGGAGCGGCCAAGAGGGGGGTGTCCAAGAGGGGGGGGTGCAAATCATGACCGGCGGCATGTGCGCGGCCCAGCGGGGGGGCCAGGGACGTAATGAAACAAGAAGAGGCGCCATGAGATCTGAGGAGATCTCATGGCCCCCGCCATGATATCCCCCCCCCCTAGTCCTCACCCCCCTCCTTTCCGCCCCCGAGCCTGGAGACTTGCAGCCGATCCCGTAGGGCGACGAGATCTATGCATATCCACTGCTCCTGGCCAGGCCAATCCTGGGCCCAGGAGCGGTGTATACGCCCTCCTGGGCCCAGGATGGGCCTGGCCAGGAGCAGTGGATATGCATAGATCTCGTCGCCGTATCCCAGGGATGCTTTTGGCCCCCGGAGCCGGCCCCCCCCTGCCAGTCTGGTCCGGCCGTCGCCCGAGCCTCCGGCGGCCGTGTTCGGAGGGAGCGGGGGGGGGCCCCGGGAGCGCCCTCGGCGAGGCGCAGCCGCTGGGGAGGACCCCCGAAGGGAGGAGGGAGGAGGGGGCAGGGGGGAGGGAGGAGGGGGGAGGGGGGAGGGAGGAGGGAGGAGGGAAGAGAGGGGAGGGAGGAGGGAGGGGGGAGGAGGGGGGAGGGGGAAAAGCCGGCGAGTCGGCCCGTCCTGGAACCGGGCGGTCCAGGACCCCCCACACCCTCCCAGGCGACTGGGGGCGCCGATACGGGAAAAGCCCCCGCCTATAGCTCCTCCCCCTTTCGGGGGAACCTCGGCGGGAGCGAGGCGCGTAGGGGCGGCAGGCGAACAGTTCGTCGAACCCCACCCCCCAGGCGATCGACCGCGGCAGATGCCCCCCCCGAGCAACGCCGAGAACGCCCGAAGACCTCCAACCAATTTTCTCGGGTCGGGCGAAAGGGGGGGATAGCAAAGGGGGGGTTGAGAATCAGCTCACGTAGCTGATCTTCCCGGCGCCTCCCGGCGCCGGAGGCGCCCATGTATCGAGGAATGGGCCCGGCGGCGGGGCCGAAACCAGCTCCAGGCAGCAAATTTCGTAACCCCCCCCTTTCCCAATCTAAAACAAGGCTAGGATCGGGATAAATCGCTCCAGAGCGTTCCGGAGCGCACTCAGAGCGTTCCGGAACGCTCTGGAGCGGCCGCGGCGCCCAATACATCCTCCAAACCCGCCGATCCTCAGAGACTTCGAGCTATCCCGATCCGATTTTGTCCCGATCTTCGCGTCGTTTTACAATCCCCCCCCTTTCGCCCGGCCCGATTATCCAGCCCGACCGCTCGTCCTCGGCAGCTCCGCGAGCAGCTCCAGCGCGGCCTCCCACGCGCCCGCGCCCGCGCACGCGGCCGCCGCCGCGCCGTAGGCCACGACGTCCGGGGGCGCCGTGGCGGGGCCCATGCCCCGCAGCAGCGCCAGGGCCCGCTGCCTGCAGGGGGGGCAGACGGGTACAATGGCGATACCGCTCCGCGCAGACCCCCTCGGGTCACGAGCAAAAGCACGACGGAAGAACGTTCTTCGGGGATGGACAGACCCCCCTTTAGTAAAACGTGGTTTAGTGAAAACGACCTGAGGCTCAAACCTGGCGGGCGCAAGCCTGGAAAATAACGGCCACGGCGCCCTCTCGAGAACCGAATACGGACAATTCACTAATCGACGTGTCACTGTTGGGGGTTCTGTCTAAACCCCGATTCTTATGCTCAGCCTCTGGGGGCCTTTCCCGGGCTTCGGGGCCGTAAAAAAGACCGGCTCAGGATGAGAAGCTGGTTCCGGGGAATGGGTCGAGACCTTTGGGGAGGGTCTTCGCTGTGAGCAAGAATCACGATGTCGAGGGTCTGGGCACTGACCTCTCCCCAAGTGTGTTCTGGCCAGAAGTTCAAAGATGATATCCAGAAGTGGCGACGAGATCCCCCCAGGACTAGCAGCTGCATCCACCTCTTCTCTTCCCCCGACTGCCACTGCGCGGCCCTGGAGCACGCGCCGATGGTGGCACCGTAAGCGATGACGCCCGGCTCTGGCCCGTGTCGGTGGAGCCCGGCCAACACGGACAGCGCGCCCTGCCAGCGCTCCTGCTGGATGTGGAGGAAAAGAAGGACCATGACAAAGACTTAACGACAAAACGTCGTTTCATTACTGGTCACCGCCCATCTTGATCAGTGAGGATTCGTGGGTCGTCCTCGCGAATCGGCGACGGCCGGCCTGAACCATGACCAAGATCGGCGTCGACAAGATCCCGCGACATCCTGGTCATGGTCACTCTGGTCCTTCCATTGCTCTGATGTCCCTGCCCCGGACCCCGCCTGGTCTTTCGGATGCTGCCTCGGCTCTCCGGCTGCCCTTCGGGGCGATCCGGGCCCGACATCGCACAAGATGACCCCGCCTCTCTGCGCCATGTGCCGAGCTGGACCTTGGAAACTGGGCGAAGGCTGGCAAATCCGTGGCTGCTAAGACGGTCTTCCCGGAAGAAGAAAACTGAAGGGGCCCCAGGACACACAAATAAATACACACAAATAAAAGGATTCCACAGATTTTCCTATATATATATATATATATATATATTGAGTTTTTGTCTTCCCCCCCACTTCCCATATGTTCCCATATTTCTTGGGGGATCGACGATTGATTGTGTCTGTGTACTTCTTTCCCTCCTGAAAAACAAATTCCCCGGAATCAAGCTCCGCTTTCAGCAGCCACGGGTGTGCCAGCCGTCGCCCGGCTTCTGAGGATCCGTGAGGGTCCCAGGGCCCCCCAAAAGCTCCGCGACGCCGCCCAATGTTCGCGAAGCAACCCCTGCAGAGCGCCCGGACCTGCGGGATCTGGCAAGGAGGGGGGAGCGAGCCGCGCCCAACTCCTGCTGCCCGAGCGCCTTGATGGCGGCGGTGAAGCTCGGGCGTGGCCAGAAGCGCCCCTACTACAGTCGGGGCGTTGACCTAAGGAACCCTAGATAAGGAACGAGGCCCCTTTTCCCCATAGGTTGAACTTCGATCTCCCATGGAAAACCTCATGAAAACCTAAGGCAAGCTGTAGAAAAAATCAGGGAACACCGAGCCCCTCCCCAACGAGAAGGGTTCCTTCTTCAGCGCCCCGACTGTAACCCCAGAGGCCTCCACAGGATTTCCAGGGAGGCACCCACGGCCTCCCGCGCACCCCATCCACGGGGGCCCCGAGGGCCGCAGGGGGCCCGGCAGTCACACGCGAGAAGCTGGGGGCACCGCGGGCCGGGGGCACCCCCCCAGACCCCCGACGCCATGGTCTTTCCTCACGGCGTCGACCCCCCAGCGGTCTTTCCACAGGACGGGTCTTCCGTCCGAGGTCGTCTGTTTCACGGCCCCGAGGCCCTGCCAGGGCCCCCGGAGGCCGAGGTTAGGGAAAAACTTCCCGTCGTGTGTTTGTTCATGGCTCGAGGGGGTCTGGGTCTAGAAAGGCCTCCTAGATGGGATCGGAGTAGATGGGGTCGGAGGATCGCGCCGCATCGGCGATGCATCGGCGATGCATCGGCGATACATCGGCGGCGTCCGCGTGAAGCAAATCGGGCTACACATCGAGCCGCATCGGCGATGCGTCGGCGATGCGGCGCGATCCTCCGACCCCGTCTGCTCCGCCCCCACCTGGGAGACCTAGAGTCTCCCTGCCTCCTCCGCCACCCCACCTCCTCGACCCCACCTTCGAGGCCTGTCATCAGGCCCTGGCCACCCCCGAGAAGTGCCTGGGCCCCAGCTCGCCCGCGGCGCCCGGGGCCTTGCCCTGGCGCTCGGGCGGCGGCCGCGCGCCCGGGTGCCGCGGCATGGCCCGCGGGTGGGCGCCGGGCCGCCGCCGCGGGGAGGGCGCCTCGGGGGGAGGGGCAGTGCGGACCCCGACCCCCTGGAGGCGTGACACAAGATCACGAATGTGGTGCTGTTCTCGCTCGGCTCGGCCTCCGGGGGCCCCCACTGGGCCTCGGGACCGTGAGCAGGAGGGCTCACGAACGTCTTGTGTTTCTCGCTCTTTTTTGGCCTCTGGGGGCCCCCACGGGGCCTCGGGAGCGTGAGAGAGAAGGGCTCGGGACGAAGAGGGTGGTCCCGGGGAAGGGGTCGAGACCTCTGGGGGTCGACGTCCTGGAGAAAGTCATGACGTCGGGGGCCTGGGGAACTACCTACCAAACCACCCAACCCCCAACCCGACATCCCCCAAACTTCCTTGGTTCCATCCGTGTTCTCGTGGGATATCTTCCAGGATCCCATCCCCCCCTCCCACTGGAAATGCAACGGAGGGCAACTTGGGTCAGCATGGCTTGGTGGGTGGTGGAGTGCGGACGCGGCCACAGGGCAGGAAGCCCAGTCCTGAAGATCCGCGCGCGAGGTGCGACTGGGAGGACACCCACGACATGGCACCCCGGACGCGGCAGATTCCGCAGTGGATGCGGGAGGTCGCCGCGAAGCGCGCGCAGCGGAGGGACCGAGGGCACCCGGGCAAGAAGCAGTCGGTGCCTCGATGCGCGACCACATTGCAGGGGCATTAGTAGGAGGAGGAATCCTAGGTGGGGGTCCGCGTAGATGGGGTCGGAGGATCGCGCCATGCATGCATCGCCGATGCATCAGCGGTGCATCGGCGGTGCATCGGCGACGTCGGCGTCGAGAACATCGGGATCCGCACCGAGCCGCATCGCCGACGTATCTGCGCTGCGGCACGACCCTCCGACCCCACCTACTCCGACCCCATCTGGGAGGCCTGAAAGGGGAAAGACCCAGATCTCGGAAGGTGTGTTTTTTGTTGGGTCCGGGCTTATTGTTCTGCCGAGAGCCGACAATCACGAGTGGTCCCAGGCCGACGAGCAAACCCTGGGGAAACTGTCGGGGCCGCTGGGGCCGCGGATGGATACTATCAGGTCGACGGGTGTCGGGGGTGGTGATGGGGGCAGAGAGGGCACAACTGCTGCGGGATGCGGCAAGCGCGAGGATTCTCATCCATGCCCACGCCAGGGAAACGACCTCCTGGCACCCCAGCGGGTGGTGGGGATAGGTATGTGTGAGGGGAGGCTGGCGGGGCGGGGAGCTGCGGGAGATCGGGTGCCGCCTCTCCCCTGGCCGCGGGACAGGGGCCACCTTGGCGCTGATCGCTTCGAGGAGGCGGGTGCGCTGCGCAAGGTGCACGTCCCTCGCGCTCCTGAACTGACATGCAGCGCCTTCCACACCCCAATGGCACATCAGCCGCACTCTGCGGGTGACCCACCCGGGGTTTCCCCGTGAGGCCGAGCCAGAAGGGAGCGCGATCAGCCGTCGCTTCACTGGAACAACTTTCTCCCTCCCCCCAGGATCCGGCGGCGGGGGTCCCTGTAAACAACGGGGGTGGCCCCTACCCCGCCCAGAAACACCCTGCCCTCCCCCACTCTCTGCCCGGTTCAACAGTCAATGCGATCTTCACTCAGCCATGGGGTGTCATTACCATCATCATCAGCATCATCATCAGCACCACCATCCCCATCATCATGATCACCAGCATCATCATCATCACCAACAACAACAGCACCATAAGCATCACCATCACCATGTCCATCATCATCATCATCATCATCATCATCATCATCATCATCATCATCATCATCATCATCATCAGCAGCATCAGCATCAGCATCAGCATCATCATCATCATCATCATCATCACATCATCATCATCATCATCATCATCATCACCATCGTCATCATCATCATCAGTATCAACATCATCACCATCATCATCGTCATCAGCATCATCATCGGCAGCATCATCATCAACATGATCATCAACATCACAATCATCATCCGCATGTTCATCATCATCCTCATGATCCTCATTCTCAGCATCATCATCATACTCAATATCATCCGTATCAAAATCATCATTCTCAGTATCATCTGTGTTTGAGCTTTGTCCCCCCCTCTGGGTCCCAGTCGGGGGGGAGCACCCCCCCCCGTTTCGGAGGAGGGGGAGTGTTACCTTCCACCCCCCCTGGTGTTCAAACGTCGGTGACGATAGAGAGCGTTCTTTCTGAGCTGGGGTCGGAGTCATGAGTCCCGAGCAGTGTCTCTGCGTGAGCGTCACCTTACAGACTCTGGGTGCGCGCCGCCGTTCTGTGTGCGGCCGTCGCCGGGGAGGGGCACCGCGTGGCGAGGGTGTGTGTGCGGGTGCAGTCGGGGGAGCCACAGGGAAGCGCGCGGGGAGGGAACTCGGAGAGGCCACCAAGCTGAGGGGCTACGCGGAAACACCGAACGGACGCCTCCTCAACACGTGCACACAGCTTTTAACGTGCGCGCAGTCTGTGTCGTGTTGCCCCGTCAGTTCGCTGTTGCAGGGTACAACGTGCGCATAAAAGGGCCCACTCCGCGCTCACAGATGCAGCGGAGGCGGACGATGAAAGGGTGCCGGAGCGGGGGAGGGGAAGGGAAGAGAAGGGGGCGAGAAGAGGGCGATGGGGAGGGCGACTGGGGGCAGAGATGTGCCGCCACCGTGCCAGAGCGGCGTCGAGATCGACGCTGGCTGCTGCGACCCGCGCACGATTCGCCGGGCCCTGCCTTGGAGGCCCCCTCGGGGGGCTCGTTGGGCGCCCCGCCGCAGCCGGGCGGACCCTCGCGCCGCCGGCAGGAGCGAGGAGGAGCGACCGGGCGCCGCCGGAGGTGCCGAGAGGCAGCGAGACGCCGGAGGCACCCTGGGCCAGCCAGGGGGGCACCTCCTCGTGCCAGCGCTCGGACGTCCACTTTTGTTCCTTTGCCCGATGATCCATGATGCTCCCAGATGGTCGCCGCCGAGAGAAAAAAAAAAAACAGACGCGCCCGAGGGATGCCAAGACCTCTGGTAACCTCCGAGCCGAGAAGCGACCGGTCGCCTGTTTGCCCTGCTGCTGGCCGCCGGGACCGCCCCGCCCGCCGCGGCCCGGCGCGCGAGCGCGCCGCTCAGAAGGGCGCAGCGCTCCTGGGCGGGCAGGGGCGGGGGCCGCGCGGGTCCCCGCCGACGAGGAGGGAAGAGGATCGAGGAGGGAAGGGGACCGAGGAGGGAAAGGGATATTGAGGATCGAGTCCAGGGAGGCTTCAAGGGGAATAGGCAGGGAACGGGACCGAGGAGGGACAGGGCATCGAGGATCGAGGCCAGGGAAGCTCGATGGGAGGAGGGGGGGAGGGAGGAGGATCGAGGAAGGAAGAGGACCGAGGAGGGACAGGGCATCGAGGATCGAGGGAAGCTCGATCGGGCGGATGGGGGAGGGAAGAGAATCGAGGAGGGAGGATGATCGAGGAGGGAAGAGAACCGAGGAGGGACAGGGCATCGAGGATCGAGGCCAGGGAAGCTCGACGGGGAGGAGGGGGAGGAGGGGGAGGGAGGAGGATCAACGAGGGAGGAGGCAAGAGGACCGACGAGGGGGGAGGAGGCTCGAGGCTCGAGGCTCGAGGATCGCCGACGGGGAGAGGCCGACCGAGAGGGTCGAGGCGGGGAGGCCGCGCAGCGCCGCGGGCACGGGCGCGCGCTGGCGGGAAGCGGCGTGCGCGCGGCGGCGCCGCCCGCCTCCGAGCCCGAGGCGCCCTTACTGCAGGGGCCCTGGGACACACAAATAAATACACACAGAGAAAACTATCCCTGCATATTTTCCCATATTTTCTCGGTTTTTGTCTTCCCCCCCACTGCCAATATCTTCCATATCATCCTGGGACTCGACGATTAATTGTGTCTGTGTGTTTTCTCCTTCCTGACTTACCTTGGGCTTATGTTGCTCCCATCCAACGTAAGGGCCGCATGCCAGAAACATGGCTGAACCTAAACGGTGTTTTTGTTCGTGTTCTCTGGCTTTGGTCTCGGATCCGCCTCCAGCGCAAACCGAAGTCGAGGCGAGAACGGCCCACGGAATCACCAAAAACACCGTTTAGGTCCAGCCCTGACCAGAAATAATTTCGAGCACTCAGAAAGGTGTCGAAACAGTGTCGAGCGAGCGTCGCCTCCCAGGGCTCGACACGTCAAAACCCTCAGGTTTCGATATCTTCTGGGTGCTCGACATTCTTTCTGATGGTCAAGGCTACGGCAGGCTGGGACATTCTCACCTTGGGTCTTGACTGTATTGGAATGTGGAAGGCACGGGTCGCGAAGCGCAGGGCGCACGGGTGTCCTCGACCTGGCAGGGCCGACCTGCGAGTCGTCCTCAACCGAACAGATGAGGGCGAAGGAGCGCGCACGTCTCGT